GAGAGAGAGAGAGAGCAGCTAAGCAAACGAAATGAATGTAAACGACGAAAGAAAGCAACAAATAATATATATATAAATAAATATATGAGAGAGGCATTATACAGCAACAAATGAGCAGCTAAACTTGAACAAGTTGAAGTAGATACAGAAGGAGAAGCTAAAGTGACGATCAGAACAGAATGAAAAATAATTAATAAAATGGAAAATGCAAATAATATTTAAAATATATAGTCTATACAAGAAAACAAAAAACTACAGCACACAATTAATGAGATATAAAATTGACAAATTTCGAAATGCAAATCTAATAGTTCTCTAAGCGCTTAAATATACTACGTAAAAACATTACAAAGTAAATACAAACAAAAACTAAAGCAAAAGCAAAATCATTCAAAATTATATACAAACAAACACACACACACAGACACAGCATGAAAATGATTTGTGAAATTCAGGATTTTGTTGTATTCAGTGCTAATTTATTTGATAAACACACACACACATACACATATGTATACATATATACAAATATGTTAGTTTGTCTAAGCATATGCAATATTTTTATATATATTTATATCGAAAATTGATATTCTTTGCACGCGAGTGTGTGTTAATATGTTTTGCCTATTGTATGTCTTATGTTTTGTAACTATGAATTGTATTGTTTAATATTCTTTTTCCTTTTCGATAAATGAAGTCGATTTCACATATGCGAACACACACACACATACACAATAGAGATGTATACACGCAGCATTGTATTAGTTTTTTATACAAACAAAAAGTAATAATTATATATTTTTATGTACGTAAATCTGTTTATATATTTATATATATATATAAATATATATTTGTATATTTACAAAAACAAAAAAAAGAAAGAAAAGAAATGAAAATAAAAATAAATTATAAAAGCAAAGCACCGAAAAGCAGAAACGCACGACTCAACAAAACAAGAAGAACGAAACTAGCAAGAAGAAGAGTGTAAATCAAATGCAAGGATACGAAACAGAGAATACACTTAGAGAAAAGCAAACCCTTTTTGCATTTGTAAGTAAATGTGCTTGGATTTTTTACATTTTTGTTGTAATTGTTTAATGAGCATGGGAATTCCGATTTGTCGATCGCAACAAATAAAACTGCCATAGCATGTAAAATTATAAGGCACAAAAAAAATAATACAAAATAATAAAATTTAAAAATATTTAATCGCATTTCAAATGTTAATAAACGAAATATTTATTGGACTAATTGTTGCACAGTTTCTGCTTTTCACGCTTCATAACAATAATAAATAAAACAACAAAAGAAAAGAAAACATTTATAACAATCGCATTGCCTGAGCCTTAAGATATTACAAAATCCATTGATTATTTGCGCAATGACAGAAGCTTATTTCTAGCAAGCTTTTTTTTCTGTTGTGTCCAAGAAAAAGTTTGTACAATTTTCTCCATTTGACTTCGATCTTAGAAATATGTTAATAATATTCTCAGTGCAAATAATAAACTTTTAAAGAAAACATAACTCCAAGAAAATAAAAATGGAACCACGACGAAGAATATCTAAAGGCAGCCTATAAAA